TCTTGGGGCAAATGATCGTAACTCATCTCCACAAATTTCAAGCAGCTTTCTTCGCTATTCATAAAAAGATGCTGAACCACATTTCTCTCAACTCTTATCCAATCACTTGTGTTCAGACGACCTCTTAATGCTCCTGCAATTACCACTACTGCAAGTGGTACTCCACCACATTTTCCTGCAATGCTTTCTCCATGTCCTACTAAATCTTTAGGACAAGGTTTCTTGCCAAAAACTCTCTTTACCAACAATTCAAAACTTTCTTTTGGAGTCAAAAATTTCAGATCGTGAGGATCTGAATTGGCATAAGTAGCCAGAACTTTGTTACGCGTTGTCATCATGACTCGATGTCCCTTTTCATTTTCTGGGAAAATTGTCTTTACATAATCAATGACTTTTGTTTCCCAAACATCATCTAAACAAATGAGACATCTACCTCCTTTCTTGATAAAACCGGCTATCACCTTAGCTAATGCGTCCACATCCTCATGTTGATAGTCTTCGGTGCGTCTTGTGAAGTATTTGAGAATATTAAGAAAAACATCCTTTATTTTGTAAGATTGGCCGACGTAAACCCAATGGACGCCGAAAAATTCATATGAAAGCTTAGGATCCTTGTAGATTTTTCTTGCTAGTGTGGTTTTTCCAAGTCCCGGCATACCCACCACCGGAATAATATCTAGATCCTTTGATTCTTTAACAAGTCGCTCGATCACTTTGTTCGCTTCCTCATCAAAGCCGACAACTTCATCATCCTCCAATGCAGGACCCTTTTTCAAGATTATAAAAGGGATCGCATCAGCAAATTGGGTACATATATAATCTTCACAAGGAAAGGTTATGTATTACAATTTCAATCTCGTGGTATTTAAGGTATATACGCGCTTATGTATGGTATAGAAAAACTTTGTACTATCATATAATTTGATCTATTATAACATATTATTTAGTACAATTTAATTATTCTGTGTCATCATTCAATACTTGTTACATCGAGTTTACCTTTTATTGTCATAATTTTGCTAATCTTTTTACACCATCACTACTAAATATCACACAAGCACTTGTTTGTTTGTGGTGCATCGGTCAACAATCTAAATAGATGAGACTAGGGGTGTCAATAGTTATTTGAAAAACGACTAAATCGACCGAATCGAACTGAACTTAACCGAACCGAACTGATGTTTAGGTTATTCTAATAATTAAAACCGAACATTGGGCTTTAAGGGAAAGGAAGGTCTCTTTATATAGTCTCGGACAATCTTCACCTCATGAGCTAGATCTTGGTGTTGAGTTAGGCCTAAAGTCTATTTATTATAATAACAAAGTCAGGGCCATCTCAATTCAATTTCTCTTATTGGATATCGTAAAGGTCAATGCTACTGCTATATCTTTATGCGTATGATAATTTTCAAATACTAGCAACATTTATTTGTTAGTATGCCTGTATATACTCTATTTCAATGGCCAATTTGATTTGTTAGGTTTAACCTTTTTGAAACTTTCACATTTAAAGACTTAAAGAAATAGAAAAATCATGAATATAGTGCAGTAAGTATTAGTGAAATGAGAGAGTAATATAGAGCAGTAACTATTAGTGAAATTATACTCTGTCATTACATTTGTTGTGGCCAAATGAAAACAGAGTGCAATATCAGTATGACTCTTTTTTAAAATAGAAAATCGAAAATTAATCAAATCTTACCAATATCTAACAGAAACCGAAATCACTAGGACACGCATCCTTCCTCCAAGAACTTCCCACCTTGTTCTTGGATTGACTCGAACTCACAACCTCCCTCTTGTATTAATTTTATGTAATAGAATAACCAAAAAAAGGCACAATATAAATTTCCTAAAATAACAGCCGAACCGAACCATTTGCAAGCAAGCTTTGAATGCAATGAGGCATACCTGCTGAGTTGTTTCAGGGGCACCTTTTTTAGGCAGCTCAAGAGTTGGGCGTGCTTGAAGAGCTTGATTGTTTAGGCGAAGTTCCTTCACTTGGTCATGAATTCCTTTGACCTCAGCTGCAAGATTCCTGACTGTAGCGAGATGACCCACATCCAAAATTCTTGCCATTTTATTTTTCTCTTTGTGCAGCTTCGCCTGAACCACAAACTTATCAACAGCATCCTCTGCGGTATGTACCGTTTTTTGAATCTCCTCGACCAACACTTTCCACTGCTCGCTATCGCTTGGTAATTTTGCAGCATCGTCTAAGAAGCCTTTTAGGTGTTGAACTTCTTTCAGCAGATTCTCTAACTCTCCCTTTGCACTTCCGATCAGCTTTACATTATCACTTAATAGCTGCAACAGGTTCTCTACCAGAAAATTCACCACTGCATCTGCCATTTTTTTTTTTAAAATAAAAATAAAAATTGGGTACCTAAATCTGTAAATAGAGAGGATATATAATTTTTCAGAGGATAGTTTTTTCAGCTCATAGCGATGAGATCTTCACTTCACCGCTGCCCTATATAAAGAATGTAATATGTGGAATAGATTTATTTTTTTTTAACTTCACTCGCATTCTGAATTATTTAATCGGTCTTTCTGTGATATAATTTTTAATGTTTGCCCATAAAAATTATTTACAAGTGGATTCCATTAGTCTGTGGGCTCCGGCCAATCAATGTTAAGGTGGTGTTCTTGGTACTTTCCTCTAGACTCTTCTTGTTTGTAGTAGTTGACGAACACTAGAGATTCGTGGGAAATTCTATATTGTGTTTTTTCTCCTTCAAAAGACCACACGAAGTGCCATTATTTGTCACTGTTTACTTGGGGCCAAGTATTAGTTGAATCCTCCACGACCCCGCAGCGCTAATGACGGGAATGACATGATTATAATAAGAAGACTTTGGCTTAGTTAATTGAGCCAAGTCGACGATTGATTATTTCTAAATGGAATTATTTGCAATTATATTAAGTTTACTTACCGCTAGAACTGGATCTGGCCGGTAGCCATGGCCAGCTTCCTTTCACATTGCCAGTTCTTTGATAATAATAACAAATTGATGGTCGCATTATTTTATAGCAGAATAATTAAAGACTTGAGAACATGTGAAGTAATGGAGAGGGAGAGGATTAGGTCAACTGATCATGGATACAGTGAGTGTGGTCATACGATTTCTAAATTACTAAAACCAAGTATTTCAACATCTTATTTTGAATGCACCAGCAATTTAATAGATCTAGGATTATTATAAATATATTATATTATTATGGATGTTCATTTAGTTCCCCATTGTAAATAAGTTTCGTGGAGAAGTTTATCTATGTGGGACTCCGCCGTAAATATGTTTATCTATTTTGTACTCTATTGAAAATAAGCCTCCTGAAGAAGCTTATCACTTCGGTACTCGGTTATGGATATACATTATCCCCGCTAGAAGATTATCCATACCGGGTATAATAAGCTTATCCTTTTTTATACTCCGTTATGGATAAACACTACCCCCGGTAGAAGATTATCCATACCAAGTACAATGAGCTTATCCTTTCAGTACTCCGTTATGGATAAACATTACCCCCAATAGAAGATTATCTATACCGGGTACACTGAGCTTATCCTTTCAGTACTCCGTTATGGATAAACACTACCCCCGGTAGAAGATTATCCATACCAAGTACAATGAGCTTATCCTTTCAGTACTCCGTTATGGATAAACATTACCCCCAATAGAAGATTATCTATACCGGGTACACTGAGCTTATCCTTTCAGTACTCCGTTATGGATAAACATTACTCTCAATAGAAGATTATCCATATCTCGTATTGTAGCAGCTTACACAACAGCTTCATTTCTTCTATAAATAGAAGAGATTTCAGTTCATTATGTACATCAGTTTGAATTCGAATAATATATCAGTCTCTATCTATACTTGTCTTTACTTTACAGTCTTTATTTTATAACACGTTATCAGCACGAGACTCTGCCATCTCGAGCAAATACTTTAAAAGTATTAGAGGTACGAACTTTCTTTTCCTAAATAATGTCAAATCTTTCTAAACTTGAATTTGTAGCCCTGGATATATCGGGAAAAAGCTACATGTCTTGGGTGTTTGATGCTGAAATTCATCTTGATGTGATGGGTCTAGCAGACACCATCAAAGACAAAAATCAGACATCAAACCAAGACCGTGCCAAAGCAATGATATTCCTATGTCATCACCTTGATGAGGGCCTGAAAATGGAATATCTTACTATTAAAGATCCAGTCATACTGTGGAATAATTTAAAAGATAGATATGACCACCTGAAGATGGTCGTTCTTCCACATGCACGATATGATTGGACTCATCTAAGGCTACAAGATTTTAAATCTATCAGTGAGTATAATTCTGCTATGTTCAGAATTATTTCCCAATTAAAATTATGTGGTGATAATATTACTGATCATGATATGTTGGAGAAAACTTTCACCACTTT